TTTAGACTCCTTAGAGAGAACCAATTTGCGTACTTGAAGAATCACTCCTGCGTCACTGCTCTCATTGACATAACTGACACGCTACTTCTTAATATGGACAGGGGCGATATTAATGGCCTTCTAATGGTGGACCTAAGTAAGGCCTTCGACCTCATAAATCACGATCTTCTTCTTAAGAAATTAGAAATCTACGGTTTAAGTGAGACAACGCTTGACTGGTTTAACTCGTATTTATGGATGAGAAAGCAGGCCGTGGCCGTAAACGGAACAATTTCTGATTTTCTTGACATCTCGCGTGGTGTCCCACAGGGGAGTATTCTGAGTCCTCTTCTCTTCATCACGTTTATGAATGACTTATCTTTTGAAATTGATGACCCCCAGAAATTAAAGATGTTCGCGGACGATTCAACAATATTAGTTGCTGGCAGAACTCTAGAATATGTGAATCAACAGTTGGCACACTGTTTGAAACCCATTTCACCATAAATAGAAAACCATGGAATGGCTTTGAATGTTGTAAAAAAGGAATCCATGGTTATCGCCTCTAAACCCAAATTGGCACGTTTACAAGGTCAAAGAATCCAGATAACTCACAATGGCGCGCGATAAAAAGTGCGGACAGTCACAAACTTCTCGGTCTCGTACTTGACTAGCAGTTAACTTAGAATTTACACATTGACGAAGTCTGTACTACTGAAAGTTCTGAAGCGAATCAATCTCTTAAAAGCAATCAAAACGTATTTATCTAAATGCGCGAGACAGTCGTTTTACAAATCCCTTATCCAGCCTATTGTTGATTATGCATGTGTTATCTGGGGTGCGACATCGCATTACAACCTGGATCGGATCCTTAGATTACAGAAATTCGCGGCAAGAGTCATTCTTAATATCAAGCGTCCCCAAGATGTCCCATCGTCTGAGCTGTTCTACAAATTAAACTGGATGACTATAAATCAACGCATAAAATACTTTACTTCTACATTGATGTTCAAAACTATTAATAGATCTAGCCCTAATTATCTACAGAATAGGTTTGAGTACGTTAAAGACAAACATCAAATCAATACAAGATCAGCCGCAAATAGAAACCTGTTCATATCTAAGCTTTCTAAGACTAGACAAAGATCTTTCCAATACAGAGGTGTACACGCTTGGAACAGTTTATCTGTAGAAGCTAGAGACTATAGCCTAGAACAGTTTAAAAAATATGTAGCTGGAACTGTTTGTAAATAATATATTCTTTCTTGTAATTTTTAATTTTTAATCTTCGATCAGTCTTTAAGTCCAAGGAAATTTTATTAATGTAAATAGAAGACCACCCTAATTAACTTAGTGTTAGCTGGTGATATCCTCTGTAAATATTGTTTTTATTATTATTATTATTAATATTATTATTATTATTATTATTATTATTACTAATAATTGTTCCTGAGATGAGCAGTTGCTCTGGAATGGAACTTTGTGCAGGGCTAACTGGATGGAAATTCACTGCAGCTGGTTGACAAACTCACAGCACTCTGTACAAGCACTCTAGATCTATGCGAAGAGCGTATATATGTCTGGATTGAGAAGGCCACCTCTCTCAAAGCTACCTAAAGTTAGGACAGAGTGCGGTAAAAATCTAGTATAAACACTTCTATGGATACGTTCTACTTTGACATTGTGCACAGCCTTATAACCAGTTATCATGCCTAACATCCTTAACAAAAAACAGCTGGCTCACTGAACCTTTTGATTAAAAATATCATTTGATAAGATAACGTTTGAGTAGACAGTCGTTCGTTCCCGCATCATCTCAAGGGCTGTTACAGAACTCACGATAACTGTGATCTGTAAGCATACATTGAAAATTTCCATTTAGACCAAACGGATTGTCTGAGAAACATAGTATTGTAATTTCTTTGCTGTCTTACAAGCTGTGCATGCTTTAATAAGAAGTCGCAATGTAATCAAAGCGGGATAGGCACGATTAGGTCTATTGTCTGATTTCATTTTGTGAAAGAGATTGTTGCTAAACATGGAATTTTAAGATCTCAAACGCATTAATTTAAAAACCGTTTGGAATATGAATTATCAATTAAAACTCCCCTAAGGAAAATCTCAGTATGAAACTCGGATTAAACGCTGCAGAGAATTAAGAATAAGTGTGTGTGCTGTTAAAATGAAGGCGGATGTTTCATCTTCGTCTCTGGCCAGTGATCAGGCGTTGGCTTCGGATGAAAGCAGGGTGGGAGTTTTTGAAGGAAAGATTTCCTCATAACCCCCTACTATTCTAAAACAAAGCCGTAGTCTCGAAACCAATCTATTTTTTTTTCCAATCTTTTCTTTCTCCAAGAACTGTATACATTACAATGTATAGGGATGAGCGCAAATCTTGCTGAATTGAATGCGGTTTCCGCACTTAACAGCAGATTTGTTTTGTTCATGTTAGCCTTGGCACAATTAGCATTTTGACTCTTTTGAATTAAGTATTGCACAACATTGATGCATCGAATATTTATCGACCTGCTGCTATGAAATTGGTGGTAACTTGCTATCGCACAGTGGTATGTGTGCTACTTAACATATTAAATTTGTAGCAATATTGTGTTTAGACCTGTATGGGATTTACTTCGTTCCAAACATGTGAGTGGTGTCTGTTTTCAGTGTAACTAACGGGTACGTTGAATTAGGTTTTTGCAGTTAACACTCCTCCTTTCTTCTGCACTTGGTTAGGACCCGGGGGTGTAAGTGCGCTCAGGTAAATCTTAGTTTAGAACCAATAGTACTGAAAATATGAACTGTGGATCGGCCAGCTTTGATCACATACGATAAATACACAAGGTTGGGAAGATAACGCTGCTGTGGCTTCCTTTTCTTAACATATCAATCACTCGGCCTCGCGACAACCTCTAACAACCAAGAGTACTAAAGGGCGGCACTTGAAACAAAACGAAGGCGAAAAAACAATTTTGCCCTGAGCTGTTGTGTAGGAATGATCATCAAATTATAACAAAGCATGATTATCGTCTCAGTCGGTGAGGTTCAAGGTGATATGCAAAGCAGGCGGCAACGGGCGGAATACTAGACATATTCCTTACTGGTCTACTGAAATTGATAAATATGATTAAAATTTTGTGGCACAAAGCACGTAACAAAATATCAGTTGAGCTTCTAATGCCCAAAAGGCCATAATCTTACTTTAAGATGCTGGAATAGGTGCCCAGTGATCTCTCTCTGGCCTGCGTTTGGGCAAGGGTTGTAGTGAAAAGTCGAGCAAGGCATAGTAGTGCCTAATAATAAAGTAGACCAATAATAAAGGTGTGGTAAATTGACAAACAAAACAATTTTTAAGGTTCAATGAATAAATTGTTTTATATCCTCTCAATTTAATCCTGTGCATTCACCTCGATTGCATAAAAACAGCGTCGCTTCACGAAGAGTGTACATCTCAGATCAGATCAGACAGTCCAATCAAAGGTAAAATGTGCCCGGACTTAGCCGTTAGTTTAGAAAGAGATGAAAGGTTGTAGTTTTCTATACATATCTCATATGCTTTTATTTCGGCAGAAAAATTGCAATTTCCAAACTTGGAAAGGGAAACGAGGAGAAACATGAAGTCAACCATACTTTCCGCTGCTTTGCTGTTCTTCTTGAGCCCTGGTACGAGAGTAGTTGAAAATTTCTTCTCTAACTTACTTTCCATCACCGCACACATTTATCTGTTATCCTTGGGTGCCAATTAAGGTGTACTTCATAGCTTGGTCATTGTATTTCGACCAAGACGGTTAGGATATGACAAAGATACATTTATACAGCGCATTCTCCATATTCACATGTTCTAATACGCTTCACAACACTTTGTTGGGGACCTTAACCAAACTGCATTGACCACTTTACAATTGTTGAAAGGAAAATTTTCCGGTGCCTCAAACTTTGGAATTTTGCTTTTGAAATCCGGTAAGGTCAGACCGTAACACCTATGATGTGATCTTCACACATTTAAGCCCAGTATTTCCGTGCAGAAATGAAAAGCCTCAAACTAATTTTTGTATCCTCAAAAACAAAATTATTTCTACTCATCATGAGCTTAACCTGAACCAATGCTGAGTAATTGAAAGTTCGCTACGAAATGCGATACTTAAATTTTAGAATATTAGAGATGCTTAAAAACGTGCCGTGAGCTCAAATTGAAATGAAATGGTCCACTTTTAGACTTAAACCATACCTTGATCCCTCCACTACAAATTTAACAAATTGACATGAGCTTACTTCTTTTACGTTTTCATGGGCAAAGTCCGTTTGGCCCAACTTGAAGCACTCAATTTTCGCCATTTTACAGGCTTATACCTGGCTCGTTTCAGTTTTCGTTAATTTTCTAGAAATCAGTAGCAAATCTGGGGACAAAAACTTTACCACGTTTCTAAGTTCACTATAAGGTATCTCTGAGAGAAATATGAGGATAGTTATTTTTCTTTAGATAAGCCACCTTCCACGCGGTCTTGAAAAAGTCAAGTTCCCAACTCGATAGATAATTGTTCAGAGAACTGGGTTTATCAACTGGGTTGATGATGTAAATTGCCCACCCGAACGTAGGTAGCTTGTAAAGCTGAGGCTTCGAACATTAGCCCTTCGTTAGAAAGAAGACTAACCCTCGAAACCTCAATTTAAGTAACTCTCAACGGTCGGGTGGCTGATTTACATATTTCTCAAGTTATCTTGTAATCTCCCCTACCGACGTATCACCACAGTTTCTTTAGAAACTTACCTCCTTTTTTCTTTTATTTGTCTTTGTACTAAACTAGCTGTTGTCCTTGTTTCTTAAAGATTTATTGGCCTTACAAGGTGCGAACGTGTGTCTCCTCCCAAACAAGACAGGATTCTGTAGAGGACGTTTCCCGCGATTTTATTTCAATAGGGCCAGCGGTCGCTGCATGAAATTTTTCTATGGTGGTTGCGGTGGAAATGGAAATAATTTCAAAACATTGGAGGAATGCAGAAAAACCTGTAAGTCTCTTGAGTTAATGACAATTTGAAATTTAGTTTTGAATATGTGGTTGTCTCGGAAATGGAATAAGCTTAAAAACTCAACACCCGAAGGTGTTTAGCTTTTAAGCTAAAGAGTTTTTAAAGAAACTCGTGATCAACACTCGAAGAATGCAAGGAAACATGTAAGGCCATGTAAGTCTCTAATACTAATTGATAAAAATTTGGACTCTTCAAGGTGTGAGCGTAAGCGTGTGTAACCTTCCAAAAGAGACAGGGTTCTGCAGAGGACGTTTCCCGCGATTTTATTTCAATAGGGCCAGCGGTCGCTGCATGAAATTTTTCTATGGTGGTTGCGGTGGAAATGGAAATAATTTCAAAACATTGGATGAATGCAAAAAAACCTGTAAGTTTTTAAAGAAACTCGTGATCAACACTCGAAGAATGCAAGGAAACATGTAAGGCCATGTAAGTCTCTAATACTAATTGATAAAAATTTGGACTCTTCAAGGTGTGAGCGTAAGCGCGTGTAACCTTCCAAAAGAGACAGGGTTCTGCAGAGGACGTTTCTCGCGATTTTATTTCAATGAGGCCAGCGGTCGCTGCATGAAATTTTTCTATGGTGGTTGCGGTGGAAATGGAAATAATTTCAAAACATTGGATGAATGCAAAAAAACCTGTAAGTTTTTAAAGAAACTCGTGATCAACACTCGAAGAATGCAAGGAAACATGTAAGGCCATGTAAGTCTCTAATACTAATTGATAAAAATTTGGACTCTTCAAGGTGTGAGCGTAAGCGCGTGTAACCTTCCAAAAGAGACAGGGTTCTGCAGAGGACGTTTCCCGCGATTTTATTTCAATAGGGCCAGCGGTCGCTGCATGAAATTTTTCTATGGTGGTTGCGGTGGAAATGGAAATAATTTCAAAACATTGGATGAATGCAAAAAAACCTGTAAGTTTTTAAAGAAACTCGTGATCAACACTCGAAGAATGCAAGGAAACATGTAAGGCCATGTAAGTCTCTAATACTAATTGATAAAAATTTGGACTCTTCAAGGTGTGAGCGTAAGCGCGTGTAACCTTCCAAAAGAGACAGGGTTCTGCAGAGGACGTTTCTCGCGATTTTATTTCAATGAGGCCAGCGNATTAAAGATAAACTTACCATATAACCTATCCTTGCGTTGTCTGATTGAATACTAACAACGAAACTATTCATATAATTATGACGAGTTACTTTCTCCGCACATCATGATTCGATTCGTATGTAAGGAGGTCCCTGTATGCTACCATGATCAGATACATTGTAGGTACCTTTTTTGAAAACTTAGAACAAGAACCATAATGAGTTTTACAGCCCTAAGCTTCTGTAAAGAACAATACTAAATCGTTAGCTAGGGAAAACAATATATCTCGCGTCTATCTGCGTTCTCTATATATACCTCAGTTGACTCAACACCGGATTGAGAAAAGTAAGTGAGGCTCGAATCCTAATAATGGAACTCGAAAAGGGATGGGACGGAAGGCTAATAACAGATGATCAACATCTTTCTTCTTGAGTTTCTGGCTCTGTGTAGAGAATATACAGAAAAACTTCTTTGCTATTTTTTTTTTTTCAAGGTATATGTCGTCTTCCACCTCAGACAGGACCCTGCAGAGCACATTTTCGGATGTATTACTTTGATGAGACCAACGGACAGTGCAAGCAGTTCACCTACGGTGGTTGCAGAGGAAACCACAATAAATTCCGCACTTTGGAAGATTGCAAACAAACGTGTAAGTTTCTTGAGTTAATAACAACTTTAAATTTGGTTTTGAGTCTGTGGTTGTTTTGGAAATGGAATTAGCTTTTAAGCTAAGGAGTTTTTAAAGAAACTCATGATCAACACCCGAAGAATGCAAGGGAACATGTAAGGCGATGTAAGTCTCTAATACTAATTTATAAAACACTGGACTCTCAAGGTGTGAGCGTGTGTGACCTTCAAAAAGAGACAGGACTCTGCAGAGCTCGTATCCCGCGATTTTACTTCAATGAGGCCAGCGGTCGCTGCATGAGGTTTTTCTATGGTGGTTGTGGTGGAAATGGAAACAATTTCAAAACATTGGAAGAATGCAAAGAAACGTGTAAGTTTTTGAGTTAATGACAACTTTGGAAGAATGCCAACAAAAATGTAAATTTCTTGGATAAAAAAAAATACGTCTAGATGTGTCTATATATCTTAGTCAACATTTCATTTAAGAGATGCAGCATTGCGATGTAAGTGATGCAGGATAATTACACTTGGCAGATTAAAAAAGCTGGCGAGTTGAATCAATTGCCACACCTTGGATTCATACGTGTAAAGGCCCCTGAATGCTATCATGATGACAGTACCGAACTAGTTGGTGCAAGGATATACGGAAAAAAAGATGGTAAATTCTAAGCTTTGTTATCGCTATCGGGTAAGGTGGGAAGATCACAGTGACATGGCATGCCGTTATTAAGCTCTGGAGACTTAATTGTTTTTGTTTTTGTTTTTAATTTTTGCTTTAATCTTTTTTCCTTTAAGGTGGGGCAGAGTAATGTGATAATGCCTGGAGGGAAAAGGGTTTTAACAAGAAATGCAGTAAGTTAGATTAAAGATTTGTTTTTACCCTGTATCTCTATGTTTTCCTATCAGCGGTATATGAACTCATAGTAATGGGAAGTCCAAGAATGTTAACTATGAGGAGATTTTGGAGATCATTATTTTTACTATCATCAAGTCTTTCTAGCCGGTTAGATTATATTGCTATCACTCTGATTTTAGCAGCGAAGCCGGACCTCATGCATTTATCCTGGCTTTGCTATCGCTATGCAACTCGCAAACTATCCTCGCGTACTTGGTTTTTTAAACAAGTTTTACGGCTTGGAATTGATGTTCCTCTGATTAAAACATTAATTTGGATCCCTTTCAGTTGTCAGTTAGGAATTGGTATAAATTTCACCTCTTGATGAAGCCTTGTTCGTTCATGGCGCTTGACATTCGCTGGTCTTAAGTTGCTACTCTCTGAAAAGAGCTTCGATTTTCTACACATCACCAGAGTAACGAACGCATCGACAGATTTTTAGCGGATATTTATTTAACAATTGGTTTCTGAAATATATCAAGTAATAACCTAAATCTGACAGTAATTTACAGTGATAATAAACAAAATAAAGAAAATTCTAACAAAGAAAAGACAACAAGAAAGTACTTAGCAGTTAGGATACATGTACAACACAAAAACTCGTAAATAAACCCACATAGAGACACTCCTAGAAAACTGCCGGACTTACTGAGCGCAAACTATCTAAGTAGGCGAATGCCGCGCGGAGATTGGAATTATAATTGGAACCGCTGAAAGATGTTGCAACAAAGTGTTCAAAAAGAAGCACTTTTCCATTAATTTGCGCGAGGAAAAACACCTAGGAGCCCGTTCGATTTAACCTCTTCGATGGTGAGTAAGATCTTCAAGCTTTTCTTTCCCGAAACTGAAGAGCAAACCAGTTCTTCAGTATGTTTTATCAATATTAAAAGAATAAATTTCGTCTTAATAAAGTAACCATCTCAAGATCGTCAATTGGGTCATCATCTTTACATTTCGTCATGAGGGGGAGAGAAGACTGAGCTGATATTGGACATAATTTTACTTTTGTTTATTTGCAGAGTCTTCCGATGAGTTTTCCCGCCACATTTTTCTCGTTCTAAGAGAAATTTTTCTAAGCATCATAACGTTAGGGTAAATTTTTTAAAAAATCTTTTGCTGATTTCATGACAGTGTGATATTCATCGCGCTTGATCTCGTATTTTTTCAGATGAGTGCTCTATTTTTTTTAGTCTTGTTCTAGTGGATTACCACAGCATTGTAATGTATATGTAGAGCTGTTAACGATTTACACAGAAATAAAGAAGAAAAACATAGTTATTTAGCGTGCATAATTTACTTTTCTGAATATGGCTACTTTGCACTTGGTACTCTGAGCGGGAGAAACTGTGAGCTCGACTTCATTATACAATACAGAAACTATCCTTAATCACTTATTTTTAAGTAAGTAATTGAGGGTGTGCACCTTCAGGAGTGTCTCGCGTGCAAGCGATGTAGCGCTTTTAAAGTGTAGATATCTAAACCCCTATATCAAATTAAAGCTTATAGGACTGGCTATCAGTATTTACAGTAACTGTTGCATGATATTTGCCATAAAACTTTTCTGCATCTCCATTTCTTGTATATCCTTCATAGATTGCTTTTATAGCAGATAATTCATTGCTGTCTTCTTGTAGCTGTTCGTATGAGTAGTTGCTGAGCTCCTTCCTTAAATTTTCTGCAAAAACTTTCCTTTCCTTAACACAGCGGACAGCACGGTCAATAATTTCTGCAAGAACCCTCAGGCTTAACTGTTGCACCTGCTCCAATCCTTCCCGTTGATTGTTGTGTTTTGCATCCCTGTGTCTGTCATAACCTCCTCTTGTTTTGTTTTTCTTTCCGCAGTCATGACAAACAATTTCTTGACGCTGAGCCTACAAAGATATAACAGACATTACCATTTTAAAATAAATAAACTACTTAAGAGTTTAAAAATAAACATTCGGTGGCCACTTATTCGATCAAGAGAGTATCGTGAAGCCGCGAAGCTCTATCAATTACAAGGTTTACCACTTAAAATAATTTCGACAAATCCCTACATTCCGGAGATTTGAGCTCTTTAGAAACTTTTCATAAGTATTTCTTGTTTCGCAGGAGCCCTAAAGAAGATTGCCTTTAAAGAAACGGCAATATATAAGCATGGTTTTTACGCGAGGGTTTGTTGCCTTTCGTTTGTACACGCGTCGAGTTGCCCATCGGTGGCAAATTAAAGCTCAGTAGTGCGAAATTACAACTCGAAATTGCAACGTTTTGAACTTAAATTTCTAAGTGCGACGGAAAATTGTTCCTCCTTCGTCATCGTCTTCCAAAATACCCAAGATCGCTTCAAAATCTCCTCCCCACACAAACAGATCGTCTACACCGTCCGCCATCTTGAATGAACTAGTGCATGGTCAGAGTCACGTGACGGGTCTGTTCAACATCACCGACCGCGCTATTGTTAACCCTTTAATATTTACCGGGTTTCATAACCAGTTCCCTCTACTAACTATGGTTTAACCTTCCCGACGACACGGCAAAGTAATAAAGAGTTTTTTGTAACATGCATGAAGCAAAGCAAATATTTATGAATTTGGAGAAACCAACCCGACTGCAGTATGCATGATAACTATCTTTTACTTGTGAGTCAAAATCAGGAGGATATTCTGCTTTTGAAGACAATTTACAAGAGGTAGCACGGTATATACCGTAATACTCAAGCTATTGCTTTCTGTTAACTGAGTCCAGCTCCCATAACGCTCACCAGACTAAATATTTTAACTTTTATTTTATATTTTTCATTAAATAATTTTTTATTTTCGCTTGTTGGATACCGAATTGGTCATACCCAACTTATATCCAAAGCGCGCTGTTGGAATAATTATTGAATAGCGATACAAAACGAATCAGAAATTAGGGTCTTCGAAATCATTAAACAAATAATGCAACGAAATCACATGAGGCTTCCAAAAGAGCCCGGCTCACGTATTTTTTGTCGGAAGTTTCTTTAAGATTAGAGTGAGACGACCATGACTTATACGGTCATTATGCAAGGTATTTCAGTTTCGTTTTAGTTTATTAAAACCAACACTACAAATTTCAGTTCTCATATCTGGAATAAGTGGAAAAAGATGTACTCTGTGCATGGTTCGCCGTTCAGTTTTCTGTCGAAGCTCATCGTGGGTTTCTATACCATGAAGTGGGTATTACTTATACTACTCTTTCTGGTTAAGATGCCAATCCATTTCGACAGGTTTCTCCCAAAGCCTGCTGGTACTCATTGATTTCTATGAGTAGCGTAGTAAAGATGTGACATGAACGATTAACATGGAAACGTCTCAAAGGCTGCAGGACTTGTTAACAAACTTGTAAACCTTTATACTTGCATCAGAATGACTCCGGAAAGAAAACCATCATTGCTTTAATAGGCCAAGATGAATTTCTCACAGAGATAGCCAGTGGAGCATTTCTCGAGAAGCGCGAAGTTTCGCGCTTAAATGGAACAACAACCAATGGTGAACTTAGTTCAGTCATCTATAACCATTTACATCGAGCCGTGCCCCAGTTAAGTTTCTTGCAAAGGCGACGATGGATAAGGTCAATTGTACACTTCATCAGGAAGTATTTTTCTGTCGTCGGATAAGATAATTCGCACGGACGAAATGGAAAATGGGCAATTAATAGTGAAAATGCAGTTGGAACCTTTGCATCAAGGCCTAAAATTACGTATATCTTTTTAGACGTTTAGTTGTGTAGTATCGCTGAGTATTTTTATGAGTTGTGCCGTATTTTGACGAGCCCGTAAGGCCAGTCAAAATACAAATAACGAGTAAAAATACTTTGCGACACTACACGACAAAACGTTTAATAAGTTATTTATTATCCAACAAGCCAAACTGTTATTTTAGTGCGGGCGAATTTCGCGGATATTTATTTACGAGGAGTGCGTGACAGAAGTATGCGAAGCGGAACGGAATTGGCGCGTTGTCGTGTTGCTGTTTCTATTTTCTTCATTAAATGAAGAAATTTTCTGGCCGTAACGCTGTTTTCCTTCGTTCGATTCACCTAATAAACTTTGACCTATATTTTCCAGCCATTCTGACTCTTCGTTGTCGGAAATATGATTCAAATTGTCCGCCACTTTTTTTTTCCTAACTACAATTCAATTCTTCGCTTGCGTGATGCGAGAAAACCTGTTTAATCGGTACTCTACAATAGACGAGTACAAATACCGTGTGATATTTGTACTCGTCTATGGCGTTATTTGTACTCGTCTAAGTGTAGTTGGATAATAAAAGGAAACATTGTTAAAGATAATTCGTTGTCATTTTTCCAGAATGGCTTGAAGCTTTGCTTCACCGATAGCTAGCGAGAAAAAATTGTTTTGGGCCGACGAATGGTATTTATGGCTGAACCATGGGCACCTATGAATAGTCGAAAAGGTCTACAGCCACAAGAAAATATTGCGACGGATAGTTTATAGCTGCATCTCTAGCATGATTTGATTAGAGGGAAGTTTTCCTTCTCTGGTAGCCAAGCAAGGAAACATTACTTCGAAAAACAAATGGTCACACATGCGAAGAATAGTAAACTTACTTTTTGCATTTTTTATTGGCATTTTTAATCTTCCCTTGTTATAACATATTTTTCTAGTAAACTTCCTTAGATTTGACTTTAAGCCTCTTCCTTCTAATCCTTATTTACGGAGATTTAAAGAAAGCTATTCCTAAAATTGGCCCTGCCCTCAAAGAAGGTAATTAGTAACTTCGTCGTATCACCCGTCCGGCCCCACTCATGCAATCCCATAAAAAAAAAAAAAGCACTGTTCGCTGCTATTGCAAAAAACGAGTGACAGAAGTGAGCAAAAAAAGAAAATAAGTCACGTTTTTTGAGGAATTGTGAGTTTCTTGATCTACGGTAACTCGAAGAAATAAGTACCTCGAGCCAAATATTTTCTCATCTGGCCCTCCCACTAAGTACATTTATCACATTGCTCGCAGCACCCTTGGGCAAGATGAAGCGAATCCTGTGTTCCGATTGGCTACCCGAGAGGGCAAGATGGCGCATCTTGCCCCGTCCGGGATTACCCGCTTCGATCCCGCGCGTGAGAAAAAATTGAATTAGAGCTACATTCGTAATTTTTGTACAATGTCGGCGATGGAAACGCAAAAAGCGGCAGAAGATAGTCAAAACAAATAAAACAGAAATGACTCTCGTAAGTTTGTTCCGTTACAAACGCAGTCGGCTTTCTTTCCCGACTCTCAAAGTAAACAAGTCATTCCTAATTTCTAATAAGCGAAATATTTTTACAATAGAATAAGTTCTTTATTAACCAAGCTTGTTTGGTCAAGATTGCTGGATATTAGATTTGTATTTTTTTTTTTCGCATTTTTATGGACCTCGACTTTGTTTCGGTTCATAAAAATCCAAAAAAGAACTTGGCTTGGCCAATATCCAGCCATTTTGACCTCACGCTTAGTTAATAACGTAAATATTATGTACCCCACCGTCCATCTCTTTCTCTCCTTCTTTCCCCTCCCTTTCCCAGAACCAGCTTATTTCTCTTCTACTTTGACTTCGCAGTCTGCCATCTTTTATTTCTTGTCGTTGTTAGGATACATTTTTGATGAACAACCTTGGAAACTTGTCAACATTGCTTTCATAGCGGCTTTGGCCTTAAGCAAAAACATTGTATTGTTTCTTGACGATAAAACTTGTTTCTGCAAACACATTTCTCATCATTAAAAAACATTTTCCTCCACAACTATGTTTCAAAGTCACAATATTTTCAACATCACGAGTCGTTCATGCCTCTGAAAGACCCTCTGAAAAGGGAAATGAGTCTTTTTTTATTACCAAATATATTCTTTGGAATTGTTTCTTCGCTATTGAATAAGCTTTCATGCCTTCAAAAGCTCGGTTTCTGTTGAATTTAAAAAATCTTTAAGGTGTTGGATCTCCATCCCCTACATTTCGTCCCTCTTTAATTTGTGTCGGACAGATGATAAAGACTAAAGATTTCTTCTGAGAAGAAAATTATATTCTTCCTTTTCGAAGTTGTTTCCTCTGTTGTTTCGAAGATACGTATGCAAATTGTTCTCAATTTGGGAAAAACATAAGTAGGAATTGAAAAAAAAATAGGTTAGTACGAGAATCATTCTCGTTTGTTTTCATGCAGAGCGCAAATTGGCGCGTTAATCTAAAAATAAATTTCATCATAACCGAAAAAAATCGTTTCAATTAGTACTCTGATCATTCTTCATGAAAACATTTAGATGTGTGTGCGTTAATACTGCGTCCTTGTATAAATAAAAAATTCTGATGATTGTATGTAACAACTAATAACTGTTCCTGAGATGAGCAGTTCCTCTGGAACGGAACTTCGTGCAGGGCTAACTGGATGGAAATTCTCTGCAGCTGGTTGATAAATTCTCAGCACTCTATACAAGCACTCCGTGCGAAGAGCGTAAAAGTTAGGGCAGAGTGCGGTATATAATATAAACGCTTCTATGGATACGTTCTACTTTGACATTGTGCACAGTCTTACCAATTATTATGCCTAACATCCTTAACAAAAAACAGCTGGCTCACTGAGCCCTTTGACTAAAAATGTCATTTGATAAGATAACGTTCAAGTAGACAGTCGTTCGTCCCCGCATCATCTCAAGGGCTGTTACAGCACTCACAATAACTGTGATCTGTAAGCATACATTGAAAATTTCCATTTAGACCAAACGGATTGTCTGAGAAACAAAGCATTGTAATTTCTTTGCTTTCTTACAAGCTATGCGTGCTTTAATAAGAAGTCGCAATTTAATCAAAGGATAGGCAAGATTAGGTCTATTGTATGATTTGATTTTGTGAAAGTAACTGTTGCTAAAATATGGAATTTTAAGATCTAAAACGCATGAATTTAAAACCTTTTGGAATATGAATTATCAATTAAAACTCCCGTAAGGATAATCTCAGTAGGAAACTCGGATTAAACGCTGCAGATAATCAAGAATAAGTGTGTGTGCTGTTAAAATGAAGGTAGATATTTCATCTTTGTCTCTAGCCAGTGATCAGGCGCTGGCTTTGGATGAAAGCAGCGTGGGAGTTTTAAAGGAAAGATTTCCATATGACGCCCTACTATTCTAAAAAAAAAGCCGTAGTCTCAAAACCAATATATTCTTTTTGCCACTCTTTTCTTTCTCCAAGAACTGTATACATTATGAAGTATGGGGGTGAGCTCAAATCTTGCTGAATTGAATGTAATTCCGCACTTAACAGCAGATTTGTTTCGTTCATGTTAACCTTGGCACAATTAGTATTTTGACTCTTTTGAAGCAAACATACAACAATGTTGATGCATCGAATATTTATCGACCTGCTGCAATGAAATTGGTGGTAACTTGCTAACGCACAGTGGTATGTGTGCTACTTAAAATATTGAATTTGTAGCAATATTGTGTCTAGACCTGCATGGGATTTACTTCGTTTCAAACATGTGGGTGGTATCGCTTTTCAGTGTAATTGGCGCGAACGTTGAATTAGGTTTTCGCAGTAAACACTCCACCTTCTCTTGCACTTGGATAGGACCTGGGGGTGTAAGTGTGCTCAGGTAAATCTTAGTTTAGAACCAATAGTACTGAAAAAATATGAACTGTGGATCGGCCAGCTTTGATCACATATGATAAATACACAACGCTGGGAAGATAACCCTGCTGTGCCTTCCTTTCCTTAACATAACAATCACTCGGCGCCGTGACAACCTCTAACAACCAAGAGTAATAAAGGACCGCACTTGAAACAAAAGGAAGGCGAAAAAACAATTTTTCCCTGAGCTGTAAAATAGGAGTGATTATCAAATTATAACAAAGCATACTTGTCTTCTTGATCGTTGAGGTTCAAGGTGATATGCAAAGCAAGCGGTAAGGGGCGGAATACTAGACATATTCTTTACTGGTCTACTGAAATTGATAAACATGATTAAAAGTTTGTGGCGCAAAGCACGGAAAAAAATACCAGTTGAGCTTCTATTGTCTAAAAGGCCATAATCTTACTTTAAGGTGTTGGAATAGATCCCCTCTGTCCTGCGTTTGGGCAAGGGTTGTAGCAAAAAGTCGAGCAAGGCATTAAAGTTCCTAACAATAAAATAGACCAATGATAAAGGGACACGTCTAATAAAGGTGTGGTAAATTGGCAAACAAAACAATTTTTAAGGTTCAATGAATAAATTGTATTATATCATCTCAATTTAATCCTGTGCATTCACCTCGATTGCACAAAAACATCGTCGCTTCACGAAGAGTGTACATCTCAGATCAGATCGGACTGTCCAAATCAAAGGTAAAATGTGCTCAGGCTCTTTCAGCGTTAGTTTAGAAAGAGAAGAAAAGTTGTGGTTTTCTTTCTATACCTCATTTGTTTTTATTTCGGCAGAAAATTTTCAATTTTCAAACTTGGAAGGGAAAACCAGGAGAAATATGAAGTCAACCATACTTTCCGCTGCATTGCTGTTCTTCTTGAGCCCAGGTACGAGATCAGTTGAAAACTTCTTCTCTAACTTACTTTCCATAACCGCACACATTTATCCGTTATGCTTGGGTGCCAATTAAGGTGTACTTCACAACTTGGTCTTTGTATTTCGACCAAGACGGTTAGGATATGATAAAGATACATTTATACAGCGCATTCTCCATATTCATATATTCTAACACGCTTTACAACACTTTGCTGGGGACCTTGGCCAAACTGCATTGACCACTTTACAATTGTTGAAAGGAAAATTTTCCGGTGCCCTCAAACTTTAGAATTTTGCTTCTGGAATCAAGGTCAGACCGTAACAACCATGATGCGATTTTCAAAAAAATTAAGCTCATTCTTTCCGCGCGGAAATGAAAAGCCTCAAACTAATTTTTTTATCCTCAAAAACAAAATTATTTCTACCTATCATGGTCCGGCTTAACCTGAACCCTGAATCCTGAGTAATTAACAATTCGCTACGGAATACAATACTTAAATTTTGAAATATTGGAGAAGTTTAAAAACGTGCTGTGAGCTCAAATTGAAATGAAATGGTCCACTTTAGACTTAAACCGCACCTAGATCCCTCTACTACAAATTTATCAAATTGACACGAGCTTGCTTTATTTTGCGTTTTCATGGGCAAAATTATTTGGCTCGACTTGGGGCACTGATTTTCGCCATTTTAAGGCTATCGTCTTTCATTTCAGTTTTCGTTAATTTTCTAGAAATCAGAAGCAAATCTGAGGCTAAAAAACTTTACCACGTTTTTAAGTTCACTATAAGGTATCTCTGAGAGAAATATGGGGATAGTTATTTTTCTTTAGATGAGCCACCTCCCAAGCGGTCTTGAAAAAGCCAGGTTACCAACTCGATAGATAATTGTTCAGAGAACTGGGTTTATCAACTGAGTTGATAATGTAAATTGCCCACCCGAACGTAGGTAGCTTGTAAAGCTGAGGCTTCGAACATTAGCCCTTCGTCAGAAGGAAGGCTAACGTTCGAAACCTCAATTTAAGTAACTCTATCCGGTCGGGTGGCCGATTTTCATATTTCTCAAGTTATCTTGTAATCTCCCCTACCGACGTACCATCGCAGTTTCTTTAGAAACCTACCCCCTTTTTTCCACTGAGTGTTTCTTTGTTTTTTTTTTTTTTACTAAACTAGCTGTTGGCCTTGTTTCTTAAAGATTTAGTGGCCTTACAAGGTGTGAACGTGTGTGTCCTCCAAAGCAAGACAGGATTCTGCAGAGCTCGTATCCCGCGATTCTATTTCTATGAGACCAGCGGTCGCTGCATAAGGTTTTTTTACGGTGGTTGCGGTGGAAATGGAAATAATTTCAAAACATCGGAAAAATGCAAAAAAACATGTAAGTTTCTTGAATTAATAACAACTTGAAATTTAGTTTTGAATATGTGGTTGTCTCGTAAATGGAATAAGCTTAAAAACTCAACATCCGAAGAATGCAAAGGAACACATAAGGTGATGTAAGTCTCCAATACTTAAACACAAATACTAAAATCCTGCATGTAAGTGTATCACTAAACGGTTCACGTACTTTGTGAGTTAAATTTGGAGGGTTTTGGCTAACATTATTCATACAGGACACAACGTCAATTAAGAATGAGGAGTTAAAGATAAACTTACCATATAACCTATCCTTGCGTTGTCTGATTGAATACTAACAACGAAACTATTCATATAATTATGACGAGTTACTTTCTCCGCACATCATGATTCGATTCGTATGTAAGGAGGTCCCTGTATGCTACCATGATCAGATACATTGTAGGTACCTTTTTTGAAAACTTAGAACAAGAACCATAATGAGTTTTACAGCCCTAAGCTTCTGTAAAGAACAATACTAAATCGTTAGCTAGGGAAAACAATATATCTCGCGTCTATCTGCGTTCTCTATATATACCTCAGTTGACTCAACACCGGATTGAGAAAAGTAAGTGAGGCTCGAATCCTAATAATGGAACTCGAAAAGGGATGGGACGGAAGGCTAATAACAGATGATCAACATCTTTCTTCTTGAGTTTCTGGCTCTGTGTAGAGAATATACAGAAAAACTTCTTTGCTATTTTTTTTTTTTCAAGGTATATGTCGTCTTCCACCTCAGACAGGACCCTGCAGAGCACATTTTCGGATGTATTACTTTGATGAGACCAACGGACAGTGCAAGCAGTTCACCTACGGTGGTTGCAGAGGAAACCACAATAAATTCCGCACTTTGGAAGATTGCAAACAAACGTGTAAGTTTCTTGAGTTAATAACAACTTTAAATTTGGTTTTGAGTCTGTGGTTGTTTTGGAAATGGAATTAGCTTTTAAGCTAAGGAGTTTTTAAAGAAACTCATGATCAACACCCGAAGAATGCAAGGGAACATGTAAGGCGATGTAAGTCTCTAATACTAATTTATAAAACACTGGACTCTCAAGGTGTGAGCGTGTGTGACCTTCAAAAAGAGACAGGACTCTGCAGAGCTCGTATCCCGCGATTTTACTTCAATGAGGCCAGCGGTCGCTGCATGAGGTTTTTCTATGGTGGTTGTGGTGGAAATGGAAACAATTTCAAAACATTGGAAGAATGCAAAGAAACGTGTAAGTTTTTGAGTTAATGACAACTTTGGAAGAATGCCAACAAAAATGTAAATTTCTTGGATAAAAAAAAATACGTCTAGATGTGTCTATATATCTTAGTCAACATTTCATTTAAGAGATGCAGCATTGCGATGTAAGTGATGCAGGATAATTACACTTGGCAGATTAAAAAAGCTGGCGAGTTGAATCAATTGCCACACCTTGGATTCATACGTGTAAAGGCCCCTGAATGCTATCATGATGACAGTACCGAACTAGTTGGTGCAAGGATATACGGAAAAAAAGATGGTAAATTCTAAGCTTTGTTATCGCTATCGGGTAACGTGGGAAGATCACAGTGACATGGCATGCCGTTATTAAGCTCTGGAGACTTAATTGTTTTTGTTTTTGTTTTTAATTTTTGCTTTAATCTTTTTTCCTTTAAGGTGGGGCAGAGTAATGTGATAATGCCTGGAGGGAAAAGGGTTTTAACAAGAAATGCAGTAAGTTAGATTAAAGATTTGTTTTTACCCTGTATCTCTATGTTTTCCTATCAGCGGTATATGAACTCATAGTAATGGGAAGTCCAAGAATGTTAACTATGAGGAGATTTTGGAGATCATTATTTTTACTATCATCAAGTCTTTCTAGCCGGTTAGATTATATTGCTATCACTCTGATTTTAGCAGCGAAGCCGGACCTCATGCATTTATCCTGGCTTTGCTATCGCTATGCAACTCGCAAACTATCCTCGCGTACTTGGTTTTTTAAACAAGTTTTACGGCTTGGAATTGATGTTCCTCTGATTAAAACATTAATTTGGATCCCTTTCAGTTGTCAGTTAGGAATTGGTATAAATTTTACCTCTTGATGAAGCCTTGTTCGTTCATGGCGCTTGACATTCGCTGGTCTTGAGTAGCTACTCTCTGAAAAGAGCTTCGATTTTCTACGCATCACCAGAGTAACGAACGCAGCGACAGATTTTCAGCGGATATTTATTTGAAAATTCGTTTCTGAAATATATCAAGAAATAACCTAAATCTGACAGTAATTTACAGTGATAATAAGCAAAATAAAGGAAAATCGAACGGAGAAAAGACAGCCAGAAAGTACTTAGCAGTTAGTATTCATGTACAAGACGAAAACTCGTAAATAAACCGACATAGAGACACTCCTGGAAAACTGACTTATTGAGCGCGAAATTACATAAATAAGCGAATGCCGCGCGGAGATTGGATTCATATTGAAACTACTGAGAGATATTGCAACAACGTGTTAAAAAAGAAGCAATTTCCCATTCATTTGTGCGAGGAAAAACACCTAAGAGTCCATTTGATTTAACCTCTTCGATGATGAGTAAGATCTTGAAGCTTTTTTTTTCCGAAAATGAAGAGCAAACCAGTTTTTTAGTATGTTCTATCAGTGTTAAAAAATACACATCAATAAATATATCTTCTTAACCAAGCGCGAGGGCCGTACTGGGAGAATATCGGCCCGAGGTCTTGACAATACGGACCTCGCTGCGCTCGGTCCGTACAAAAAAGACCGAGGGCCGATATTCTTCCAGTACGGTCCGAGCAAGCTTGGTTAATAAGAGATTTATTATACGACTGAAGTTCAAAGGGACACTAATGCGGTATCATTCGGGACCATTCGGGACAGTGCCCGGTCTAATACTGAGAGAATATTAACCGGCAATAGAGCATTTTGATTGGTTGATTTTAGTTATTGGCCCTCTGACTGCCCGAGTCGTGTAATAAAGATTTCATATTTGCCCTCGAATTTTTACTTCTCGGCCAAATATTCATTTTTCGGACAATCTCTCAGCCGCGGACATTATCAGCCGACAAACCAGCCGCCCGAAGGGGTTTGTTTACTAATTATGATCCAACTGTGCTTCGTAGGGTACAAATAACGCGCGGGACGAGTACAGATATCACGCGATATTTGTACTCCAGAAAAATCCGCGAAATTCGTTCGCACCGAAATAACAATTTGGCGTATTGGATAATAAATCCCTTCGGGCTCCTCAAAAATACGGCTCAACTTGTAAAAATACTCAGCGATACTACACAACAAAACGTCCAATAAGATATATTAACTTTACCTTTGTTTATTTGCAGAGTCTTCCGATAAGTTTGCCCGCCACATTTTGCTCGTTCGAAAATAAATTTTTCTCAGCATCCTGACGTTAGAGTAAATTTTTTAAAAAGTTTTTGCTGATTCCATGACAGTGTGATATTCTTCACGCTTGATCTCGTACTTTTTCAGATGAGTGCTCTATTTTTAGCCTTGATCTAGCGGATTGCTACAGTATTGTAATGTAAAGCAGTTAACTATTTAACACAGAAATAAAGAAGAAAAAGATAGTTATTCAGCTTGCACAATTTAGTTTCTTTGATATGACTGCTTTGAGCTTGGTACTGTAAGCGGGAGACTCTGTGAGCTCGACTTCTGTCATGCATGATACAGAAACTAACCTCGATTACTTACTTTTAAGTAAGTAATTGAGGGCTTCAAAGCCCTCTACGAACTATATATTAGCTCACTACTGCACAGACTCACAGTTTCTCCAAAGTTCCTGGAAATTATCACTCTTCCACAGCAGTTCTCTCTCTTGGTATAGCTTTCCGAACAGCCCGGCGGTAACTCCCGACAACAGTGACTAAAAACAACTACACGACCGAGTCCTTATAGACATTTGCAAAGTATTCCGGAACATATCAGAAGCTTACAACATAACTATTTTGGTACTAATACAACATAACAAAAAAATCTAACAAACATTTCTAGAAAGTTCCATAAGAAGTTCGTGCATGCAAGTCAACATGATTAAGCATTCTAGAAATTTATATGATAAACTCTTATTCTGAGTCACTCTCCATAACGGTAAGTACATTCTACGCAAGTAATAGTTTGTAACACGGTATTTTAAACGTGCTCGTGGTTCAAGTGCGAAACTTTTAACATGTTCTTGTTCTTCCTATCATCTGAACGAGATGACACAAATAAATTAGATTTTGCAATAAAATCACTGCCTTTCCATTTTTATCTGCTGCAAGACTAAATACGAACCAATCTACAACTTAATTGTAACTTAGCATCGTTCCTTTCCCACTAATTTTAACTCCAGCTTTATTTTTACCGCTCGAACGGAAGCTTAAACCTTGTGTTGCTTCCAAACTCTCTCAGCTAACTTAGTAGCAGCTCCAAATTCAAATCTACTCTTCGTTTAGATACATCTCGCCGGTATTATGTACATAACTGATCCAGTCAATTAGTGGTCACATATCCTCGCCGTTGACAGTTCGACCCCAAATTAAAAGCACTAGACTGACCTCGCATCGTCTTCAGGTTTCCTCATTAGAGAAACGAAAAAGCTGTCTGATCGTGTGCTTCACGGCTCGTCTCATTTCTCTCATCTTCCAACAATACAGGAAAGGGTTTAGAGTCGAGTTAGACAACATCAGAGATGTGGATAGAGTCCAGGCAAAGTTAAATAATGGCGTGTTCAATCCACTGATAGAATAAATAGCATCAACTAAAAATAAAGGGAGATAACAAACAAGTAATGACATTTGTAGCCACAGTGCTGTGGACACTGTCTTTTTGTATTTTGCTTTGTTCAGTTGATTTGCTTCTTCATTCGGTTGTCCTTGGTGACCTTGGTTTTGCACTTGAGTTTGAGAAAAGTGAAGTGTGCAATAAATTTTGGTGTAGCAGAAAGTGGAGATCATTAAGCATAAAAGAAGCACTACTAATTGAAACCACTCGGTTATGTGAATGCCCACAGTAGTACGATAACTGAGAAATACTAAAGGGGCCAAAAAAGTGAAAAGAACTAAAAAGGTAGCGACTAGGGCCCTTACTCGCCTCACTGTTACCACCTGTCTGTATCTTAGCCCCAGCAACAGAGCAAGAAGTCTGTCCAAACTTATTACAGTCGTTGTTAACAAAGATACTCCACAGAGCAGCGAACCAATACTAAGAAAAAGCAATTCAGAATAGTAACAACTCTTTGAATGTTCTGGGAACATAAAGTGAAAACTGTAAAGAGGATGTGAAATGAGGCCCACGACCAAATCTGTGCTAGCAAGACAAACGAGTAAAAGTTTCGACGGCGGGCGAAGGAACGACACCTTACGGAGAGTAACAATGATGAGAACATTTCCTAATATTGCAACTATGGATAGAGGAAGACCTATGGCTGAAATGAATATCCTCTGAGCTGTTTCAAAACCTGACGTGCAGAAAAACTCTGGAATTGTTGTTGAATATTTTCCATCCTCAGTTACATTCGCCATGATTTCATGCAGGCTGTTTCTTCATTCGCAATCCAAAATCTAGTAATGCTTTTGGGGCTGATTTACAGCAGTCAGTTTCACCGCTTCAATTGAAGTGTATTCGTCTCTTCTGAAATAAAGAGAATTATATCTTAATCCCAAAGATAATATTTTACATTAACGTCATAATATGATGGTAATATATCCCTAAATATTGATGAGGGCCGGGTCGCACACGAACGAATTCGAATATTTTCCAATCTTTCGCGAGTCAAAAATTGGCAAAAATTTCGCATTTTTCCAAATTTTGGCGGCGGTCGCATCAAACTGATATCCTTTGACTAAAACTCCACTGATCGATTCATACATCAATCACAAACCCCTCTCGCTCTTAAAGAAATTGAAAAATATCTCGCGCGAATTGCTACGCAAGAACGGATCCTTTTTACCTGCTGATCTTTTGCGTTGTGGTTGACAATGATGGTACTTGTGATGGCTTGCGAAGGGGAGGATAATTTCTCGTTGTAGCTACATGTTCCCCAAATTGCTGCTAGTATAACCGTACCCAAAGCACGAATCACAGACATTTGAAGCAGCGCTAAATGTCGTTTCCCTCAAAAGTAAAAGGGTCAGATGGACCAGGAAAATCATGCCATCGCACGCCCAACTAGGCAAGCGGACTGAAGTATTTTTTTCCCATTTGAAATTTTGTCTTGAGATATCTTTCATAACATGACAGCTAAATGACTGAAAAAAAATGATTGTTTGTTTTGCTAAAATTGGGAATCCAAGATTTTGATGGTCGGTGAAAATTGGACGATTCGCAAAAAATTTGTGAAGATCCTTAACATAAACGTGATCCGATCCGCGTTTTGTCGACGTCGTTAATTCAGCGAGTTGAAACTGATGCGCTTTAATTAAAGACATGCAACGATGCTTTGGCCTTTTAAAAATTTCAAAATTCAAAATTCCTTCAAATTTGTCAGCTGAAAAAGTGAAAAACCTATATTATAAGAATGGATACAAAAATTATGTTTTAAGAACTATCTTCGTCGTTTCCACGTCAAGAAATAAATTGGAAAAGTTAATCAACTGTAGGCTTCTCTTATAGCAAACGAGAATGACGCGAGATAATAAAAGAGAAAAATTTTCGAATTTGCATTGTTAATGACATGCTCCTGGTCCTATATCCCTATGAGCAGGTGCTTCAATGTCCTCATGTTCCTTGCCGGGTCAAAATAGACAGCATATTAAATTCACATACACAAAGCAAATTGTTACTCTAAAACTAAAAATAAGACTCTAGGTTGAGTTTTTCTTATCCCTAAATTTTGCCTCTGCAACAAAATTTCCCTTAGAAAAACAAAACTATATTTTTCCCGTGTATATTTAACAATTTTTCCCGTGTATATTTAACAATTATTCGCCGAAGGCGAGGTAAATATCGTCGAATAATCCCCTCGACTTCGTCTCGGGGATTATTCGACAATATTCACCGAACCTGGGCGAATAATTGTTTTAGTATAATTCCAGAGCTGAATTTACCGCGTGGAGCGGTTTATATAGCGTCATATAAGGAACCACTCGACCAATCAGATTGCTGGAAGCTCTTTGCTCAGCTCTGAAATTATACTATAAATAGATGACTTCCTGTATTCGTAAATATTCCGTGCTCTTAGCCATGTTTAGCTTTTATCAAAGTTTGCTATCACTTAGAAAACATTATGTTTTGATCAATATTTTACTTAATCCTAAGAAAATACAGCATATTGGTCCTCACGGGAAAAAAAAAACCAGAAGGAAGTTTTTAATATAGAACCGAAAATGTGCCGAGCAACTTTAAAGAAAACAACTTGGAACTATTAAATAGAGCCAATCTAGACATTGTGATGGGAGTTAAGGAGCTAAAATTAGTCAGGACAGTGAATCTGTGGAAAAATTTCTGGATGCGATAGGCCCCACCAAATTTCAATATAACATATGTGAGCAGAGTTGAGCTTTGTAGAAGACGACCAGAAAATGTATGACAGTAAAAGCTACACTGGCAGAGCCATTATTTTGCATAGAAATTCATTTATTTCGTTGCGTTCTCTTTGATGTCACCTTCGATGTTTGCTTAAATAATCCCTACTTTGTCACACGTCAGAAAGAGCTAACGGATGTAAATGAGTTACGCATTATGACAGGTGCAAAACTTTCAGTTATTTTCCTTTTCTACCTGTACTTTTTTTATATATCTATAAAAGAAAGGAACTAAAAAACAACTTCTACCTTAATTATTTTATGATCATAGGACAAAACTGTCAAATATTCGCATGTTGTGTTATCAATGCTGTTTCCTATTTCAAGTTGTCGGTAAAAAAATTGTTAGATTAGCAAGTAAGTGAAAAATAATAACAATAATAGCAACGATGCTGTTATTTTCTTTTTCTCTATGGGAGACTATACCTATTTAAGTACCTGATAAATGCATTTTCCAAATTCTCTGTCGGTTTGGTACCCGGCAATAATGCCACCATCATAAACTTTACTTTACGTGCGTTTAGCTTAGACAGCTGTAAACATCTACAAAGGTACTAAGTAAGTTCTGCGGTTGATTCTGTTGATAGGGAACAATCAGCTATCAGAGTTGAAGTTATAGTAATTTTAATTTCTCAATGAAGCTTTGCCGACGACATTAATGAATCAGTATTAACAGAAAGTGCGATTAGTCACTTCAGTCATTAGCGGTTGAAACAGACTGGGATGAAAGTGCAGCAAGTGCATGGCGCTAAACAGCTCTAAACGATTAACAATGCAAGAACGTTCTAAAATAACCCACCGTTAATGCTTCTTCAACATTTTTCATAATCATAAATTTGTATTGATTTTTGATGGACCATTAGTTCTTACGAAAATGAATTCAATGCAAGCAGTAGTTTGTTACAAGGTATTCCAAACGTGCTCATGGTTGAAATGCAAAGGTTCAAAATGCTCTTAGTAGCTTAATCGGGGGCCCCCTATGAACCAATGAAACAAAGAGAGCCCGTCGTTCCCAAAGGTGTTTTTTTTTTTAACTGTACTGCTTTGATTGCTCAATAATGTTTTTTCCACATTTCCCTTTTCCCGTTTCAGTTTGAATTTACTCTAGGAAGATCTCGTTATACCTAAAGCCCACTCACTCTTTGTAGAACAGTTTTCTTGCTTGCTCTGTTTCTCTTTATTTTATTATTTTTTTTTTTTTGTGTCACTTTTTCTCCCATCAATATTTGTTTTCCTGGGGGGAGGGGCAGAATGTTTTGGGGGTGATCACAAGCTTTTCAGGAGGAACGGAGTGGGGGAGGGGGAATCAGTCGTAGCCAAAAGAGTATGAACAGGAAGAACAATAGAAAACTGACCACCACCAATAAGGGGAAAGGCCGAACATTATTACATAGTCTATAAGGGGGAATTTTTTCGTGAGATAATCCAACATCAAATTTTCCTTCCCTTTTTTCTGCTTTGAAATTCCGTTCCTTCATGTCTCTTTACCTTTGCTATTATTCATTGATTACTCTTTGTTTTCCGTTTTCTACTTCTCATTCCCAAATTTTTTACTTCTCATTATTCCATTCGCGAAATGGCTAGTGGAATAAAGTAGATCGCAATCAGTGATCTTTGGGCCACAAAAAGGGTTCACAGAAATCCATCTCCAATAGTGAAGGATGTCTAACATTCAATGAAATCAGCCAACACCCAATCGCTGTTGCCGGTTTAAATAGGAGAATGTAGAGTATGATTAATATACAAATGATACACACTTGGATGGTGTACTGGTTCCCCTCCTTTCAAAGAGTTTCAATGAAATCAGCCCACTACCCACCGTCACTGTACACTGTCACTGTTTTATGTCCACAAAGGCGCGTAAGTTTCATTTAAGTTTGTCTTCATGTTAAAAAAAATTAATGTGTTTAGATCAACATTTTAGTTAATTCTTGGAATATTGGTCTTCGGGATGAAAGCGATGAAGTGAGAAAACTTGCGACGGCAAATCTGAGGAATCTTCGATCAAAAAAATTAATTTCTCTTTTTTTCAAGAGTTTCGCGAATGAATGGTTGAGTTCACCGTCTCTAACGGAGCCAGACCTCAGTTTCAAACCAACATATAAGAGCAGAGTTGAATTCCAAATAGAAACGTAAATAACTAGCTTTTGGGACTCCCGTTCTCAGACCACGCAAAGTTAGGCGCTTCTGTGTAGGGCTTTTACTTGTACTGCTCGAACGGAAACACAAAAAATTCTTTACTTTGAATTCTCTAATATACCAACTTTATTGCTGCTCCAAACTCAAATCTACTCTTTGTCTTTGATACATTCCGTAAGCTATATATTATATACAGTAAATAACTGATGGAGTAATTCAACTCAAAGTCGTCAGATCAACCTCACAGTAGACAGTTCGACCTCGCATTACTTGCGGTGTACTATCATCGCACGTTGCCGAAGTCACGATGCTTTTAAGTCAGGTTCCCTCATTAGGGAAACAAAAAAACTTTCTAATCGCGTGCTTCATTGCTCGTCTCATTTCAATCATCTTCCAACAATACAAGAAAGGGTTTAGAGCCGAGTTAGAGAACACCAGAGACCACGATAGAATCCAGGCGAAGTTAAGGAATGGGGTGTTGAATTTACTGATAGAAAAAAATACACCGATTAAACTAAAAGGAAGATAGCAAGCCAATAATACCATTTGTATCCACAGTACTGTGGACACTGTCTTTTGGTATTTCACTTTATTCAGTTGGGTTCCTTCCCCATTTGGTTGTTCTTGCACTTGTGCTCGAGAAAGGCGAAGTGTGCGATAAATTTTGGTGTAGCAGAAAGTAGAGATCATTATGCATATCAGCCACATTGCACATCCAATGCCCACGAAAATACGAAGACTGAGAAGTACTAACGACACAATGAGGGTAACAATGACCCAGTTGATAATAACAAGCGCCTTTACTCGCCTAATAGTAATAACCTGTTTGTATCTTAGCCCCAGTAACAGTGCAAGAAGTCTGTCGACACTCATTCCGGTCATTGTTGACAAAGATACCGCACAGAATATCGAACCAATAGTTAGAGATAGTAATTGAGAGAAGTAGCAACCCTTTGAGCGCTCTGGGAGCATTAGGTAAACACTGTAAAGAGGATTTGAAATGAGACCCACGCCCAAATCTGTACAAGCAAGACAACTGAGCAAGAGTTTCGATGGCGGATGAAGGCACGACACTTTACGAAGAGTAACAATGATCAAAAACTTTCCCGGCTATAATTGCAATTATGGATAGAGGAAGATTTATAGCTGAAATAAATATCCTCTGACCTGCTCCGAGACCCCAAGTACAGAAAAACTTAGCGCTTGTTGTCGTATAATTTCCATCCTCATTTAAATTCGCCATGAAATCATTCAGGCCTCTTTATTCGCAATCCGAAACTGAAGTAACACCGTTGGGGTTGATTCGGTTGCCGCTGAAAGGAAGGTTATTTCTTAATCTATAAGATCATAATATGAATTAAACGACATGATATGGTATGATGATAATATTCCTAAACTGGTTCTTATTGGTTTAAATCGATCACGTGACGCGATAGTGTTCATCCGTGGAGAGACACTATCAGCCCATAGTGCCCGCCCGCGGAAAATACCCGGATGGATAGTGCCCG